TGGGAGTTGAAGTCCACTCATCTTAAAGTGGCCAAGTTTGGACAACATTGCCCTAGGCTGTAGTTCAGGCTCAGATGTTAGGATCACACAATTCTATGTTTGCTGCCTCTGTGCTAGGCAAGTTCTGTTTCCCCTCTTTTTTTTAAACACACCCATACCCACAAACATAATACTGAATTTTCCTTTAAAGCTGAAGCTTTACGTGAAGCTCATGGATCATTTTCATAAAGAGGAAGGTGGACAGAAAAAAGGCATATTTCAGAGCCTGTCAATTTTTCAATTTACAAAGAATCCATTTCAAGAAGTGTAGAGAAATTCTTTCATTTTTTGCTTGGTGTCTCTATTTAATAGTAGAAGTATGAAAGAGGGAGGGATGTGAAAAAAAGCTGCTTTATCATAATTTCCTTTTGGACAGCAGTGATGACAAGAACATTCTGAAGTGGATTTTCATCTCTCTTGCTTTGCGGTTTTGAGCAACAAGGCCACGAGATGCCATTTATAACCCCCTATAAAATGAATGTTGTCAGTCTTTTGTTCTGAGCTCCAAGCATAAGATGAGAGATCAGAAAAACAATCCAACCAGCAGCAGTTGTCAAATTCTGCTTGGCAATTGTGGAGAAGATATCTTCAGTGATGGAGCACCTGATTGTCTCTTTCCAAACAGACAAACACACATAAGCAGCCAAGTGGGAATATTTAGTGGTTCTGTTATGACAGGCTTGTTGTACATTTTGGAGAAATGTCAAAAGCTTCCAAAAACAGAACCTGTAACTGATGATCATCTCTTGGCAAGAAAATTACCCAGGAAGGTTTGTCAGCATCAGAGGGCAGGGGGCTCGGTCTGCTGAAGCTGAGAGGAGAACACCTGAAGGCATGCAAAGAGCAGAGATGGGTTGGGTCCTATGGCCAGGAGACTCAGATGAGTGGGCCAGTGAAAACACAGGAGAAGGGGACGGGGTCCCTGCACTTTTATCCCCTGCCTGCTGTCTGCAAATTCCAGGTGGTTCATCATCTCAGGATGGCGAAGGCCCAAATGGCCTGTGAAGAATTCCTCATTTGTAACTTAGCATGCAGGTAACAAATGGGAGACCCCCTTGGTCAAACCAGGAGCCAGAAAATGCAGATAGAAAGTTTTCCCTCCCAGTCTTCATAATATTAAAAGTCAGATTTATTTAGTAAATGTGATTGGCAGAAGCCATTGTGGTTTTAAAAAGGTAGTTCATGGCTTAGCAGGTTATGCAGACCCAGCCAATTGTGGCTTACTCAAGCTCTCTTCTAAAATGCAAAAGTTCAGATCATTTAGGTGCACGTGATTCTGTAATTCTCACGTCTTTCCCCTGCAGACATCACATCCCTTGATCCTAATTCTTAAAAATCTGGAATATGCAACTAGCGAAAGGTTTCTGCTTCCTCAAACCCACCAACTGGCCTGGTTCATACATTGCCCTAAGCCATGGTTTGTTAAGACAGCTTTTATTAATTAAAACCACAGTTGGATGAGCCATGTTTTAAGCATTAAACCTTGCTTATCCCCCTGAACCCTAGCCAAGCAAAGCACATGGTAGCAGACGGTTGATAACAAGAGACTCCAACTCTGTGGGATTTCAAAAGAATATTGGGATTCTGAACTGAAACTGGTGTGATACTGATAGGGTTTGGGCCTAGGTCCCCCCAATATGTCATCTGCTTTTCGCTTTGCATCCACAGGAGACCTACCCAGTGGGCAGTAGTCTGAACTGTAGGAAAATGCATTTGTTGAATCCACTGGAGGATGTTTTTGTAAAAATCTGTTGTGCTTTCTTACCTCCCTGTACCACATTAAAGCTAATAATATTTCTTGAAGGGAAGAGAAAGTATTTTTAATGGGACAGGCTCAACAGATGGGATGTGAACGGTGCTGGCTGATCTAATTACACTACATTTTCTGCCGCAGTGGTGTGGCGTACCTCATACCCTTAGATATTTCTTGCAAATTTTGCACTGTTATGCCCCTAAGAAATGAAATTATTGCAATAATTGGTTTGGAAAACCACCCGTCTTGCTGTGCAGCACTTATAAAGGTGGTGAGAGGTTGGGCTTCTATGTCTGTTAAAGAAGGGCTGATGGGGAGGAAGCGGCGTTTGAGCACATTAACCCTTCTGAGTGTCAACATTTATGTAAAGAAGAAGATTTAGTGGAGCTCTAGACTTATGGCTTTGGATTTCTGCTTCTCACAGTTCTAACAAGAAGCTTTCAAGGACATTACAAGTAGAGTATATGTAGGTCTGTGAATCCTAATTGTGAGCAGGCCTCTCTGCTTATTGCTCACAACTCGCTTCGTGGACATACTACCTCTAAGCCAGGAGTTGCTACAGATTTAGCTGAGCTAAATAGCTAAGGGCTATGGCCAAGTTCACAATGTCCAACTC